CCCCATGTGTCTCTGCTCACTTCTCTCTTTTATATCGCAAGAGATTGGCTTAAGACACTATCTAATCTTGTAGACCTCATCAGCGTAACTGCCACTAATCCATCTTATTACATCATAGTGATAGAGTTTACAACACATAAGGAAATCAATCAGATTACAGAACAGTACCCAATCATACAATACTGGGAATCATGACCTAGCCAAGTTGATAGATATTGTGGGGGGATACAATTCAATCCATGACAATGCCCGACACCTGACCAAGAGCTCTGCCCCCTGCCATCCCTCTCCCCTCACTCCCCTGACTCCTTGCTTCTTTCCTCCTTATTCCCGTCTCCCTCTCCCCTTTCCTTCCTCCCTCCTTATTTTGTCTCCTTCCTCTTTCCTTCCTTCCTTCCTTCTATCCTCCCTCCCTCTCCCCTTCCTTCCTTCCTTCCTCCATCCCTTCCTTCCTCCCTCCCTTCCTTCCTTCTTTCGTCTCTCCCTTCCTTCCTTCACTCCTTCTCTCCTCCCTCCCACCTTTCTCCCATCCTTCTTCTGCAAGCATTCTCTGCAGTTCTTGCCGATACCCCTCTCTGTTCTAGATACCAGAGATGCCCTGAGGGAGCTCACAGTCTAGTGGGGAGAAGACTCGGTTGGGTGAGGAGGCCCAGGTTCCACAGGAGGAACCCAAGGGGGCAGGCCTAGCACGCCCTCCAGCATCCTGAGAAGGTTCTCAGAAGAGACTTCTGTGTCTTGAGATCAGGCTGGTGGTCCCCACTAGCAGAAAAGAGAAAATTACCCAGAAGCTCAGAAAACAGAGATTAATTATATTCATTTTATTTGCAATTCCTTTTTATTGTTTACATAAAATTTTATTTTATTTTTTTACTTAGTGGAAATTATAGTGGACATCCAAGTGCCTGTTGCATTGACAGTAAGTAAATCTTAAGCATTTTCCCGCTTGGTTTCACAGTCCTTTCATTCATTCAGCATATATTTTTGAAGGCATTCTAGGGACCTGGTGCTGTCCTAGGTGCTGGGATTGTAGCAATGGACAAAATAACTTATTTTACTTGTGTGGAGCTTATGTTCTAGTGGGAGGAAATGGAAAACAGCCAACACATACATGTCATGTGTTAGACTAGGTAAAAACGTAGTCGTAAAACATTAGCTCTTATAAAGGCAATAACCAATTTGAGCTCATGAGCAAATACTCCAAAGGCAAGGCTCAAATCTAATGCTTCCACAGTAATGAGCTTTAACATGTAACTGAATGCAAGGCACTAAATACCCTTGTTCAGAAGTTGTCATTGCCTCCCTGTGGCCTGGGGAACAATGCCCAAATTGGCATAGCATTCAAGGCTCTCTGTGATACGTCATTAGAGCTTGTGGAGGACAAGAATGTAACTTAGATTGTGTACATTGTTGCCATGTTAATGGATACAGAAGGTGTCACTGTACACATGTGCTCTCACCTACAAAGCCAGTCTCTGCTGTTGGATATTTAGGGTAATTCTGATGTTTTGCCATCATGGTCTACACTGCAAAAAATGTCTTCATGCCTGTGACTTATACTTTAGTTTGAATCAGTTAAAAATACAAGGATTTCAAGCTGGGAGGAACATAACCAGATTTACTTCATGGAAATGTCGCTGGTAATGAAAAAGATGGAGGAAGCTTCTGGAAGAAGAGTTAGGTGGCTATGGGGGTCTTGGCAAGAGGTATGAGGGCATCAGTTAAGGTGTGGGGAGAAGGAAGTGGGTGTGGAATGGAGCGGATGGAAAAGTAGCTGTCAAGAGTTGCTGACAGAGAACATTCGTTGGATTTGGCAATTAAGCAGCCAATGTTGAACACAGTGAGCATTCCAGGGACATCATAGTGGCTGAATCCAGAAGGCAATAAACTGAGTATTAAGTGAGGTGTGAGGAAGTGGGGGCAGAGAGAATGAGGGCATCTTCATCAAGAATACTTGCTGTGAGTGGGGACAGGATGATAAGTGGTGTGTGTGGGAGGAGGTTTTTGTTTTTCCCTTAAAGTTAAGAAAGATCTGGACATAGTTAGGAATTGTTGAGGAAGGCAAGGTTGAAGACTGGGGACAGAGCAGCGGTCATTCATGGTGCAAGATCTCTAAGAGCCAGGAGAGTGGGCTCCAAAACATCACGCATGTTCCCCCTAGAGAGGGGCCTTTCTTTTCATTTGTTGATTCCTCCATCTCTTTTTTCAACAAAATAATATTGAGTGCTTACTGTGTACCAGGCCCTGTACCAGGAGCTAGGAATTCATTGGCAAGCAAGTCAGAAATAATGTCATTCTCACAGAGCATAGCGCCTAAGGGAAACAACCATCAGCTGTAGACCCAAACCAAATGCACGGCCGGCGAGTCAACTCTGACTCATAGCGACCCTATAGGATGGAGTAGAACTGCCCCATAGGGTTTCCGAGGCTGTAATCTTTAGGAAACTGACTGCCACATCTTTCTCCCATGGAGTGGCTGGTGGATTTGAACCGCCGACCTTTCGGTTAGTAGCTGAGTGCTTCACCACTGAGCAACCGGGGCTTCTTTCAATTGCAGATCCACCCTAACTCACTGTATATTTACAAACCCAGGCAAGTGCTCTGAAGGCAAAGGAAGGCTTCTGTCGGAGCGGGTACCTCAGAAACCTGACCTAGTTTTGAGGGTGGTGTCAGGAGAAACACTCACCTGAGCAGGTCATGTGAGCCGAGACGCGAGGGGGACCATGGGAACAACCCGCTCTGCAAATGGACAACACGTGCAAACACCCTGTGGTGGGAGGGTGTAGTTGCATACAAGGAGATGGAGGAAGCTCAGACCCAGGATGCGGTGGGAGAGAAGTGCCCAGCGATGCACAGAGATTAGCAGGGGCCAAACGCACAGGCCCGCTGGCGACCTTGACCTCTGAGCAATGAAGTGTTGCTCTTCTATGTGAAAGAACTAGAGAGCAACCCGCAGAAAGTAGCGCCAAAGCCAGCTTTTTCCGGGGCCATGACTGTTGGATGGAGAGCCGGGGGCAGTTGATGAAAGAGGTTCCTGATTCACCCCATTACTGGGAATTCTTGGACCAATAGCACCCAGAGCCTGCGGAAGGTGGTTCCGGGCTTGCAAGTGGTCAGAAACTGGCAGAGGGCTGGGGGGACCGGTCAGTTTGCCTCATGCAAACCTGCACCCCGCAGGGTTGGTGGCCTCCTTGTGGGGCTGATGGTGTGTCAGGAGCTTCTGGGTGTCAGGCCCCGGGCACACTAACTTGCCAGGCTCGATAAGAGTTACATTTAAAAAACACTCATAAAAATCTTTCTTAAAGAGCCATACAAACACCTCAGGAGACCAGAAGCTTAAAACCTCCATGCTGCCGGATTCTCCCTGTACCCCGCTCTCTCCTGGACAGCTTCCAGACCCACCTGATCGGATTTTTTGAGGCAGCAGAGAGAGAACTTGCTGCCTTCTGCTGAATTTGGGCCTATTTTCCAGCCCCATCTCCAATGTTGCTGCACTTTTATTTCCTTCCTGAATTTTTTTCACATATTATCCAGTATTGCCCATGACATGTCTATGCTAAGTTTGAAAACAGGACATTTTATAGCCTAAGTATAGCCAGACACAGTCCAATAGCCAAATAATAATACCAGCTGCTACTAATACTAATCATATTTGAAGCATGCTGGCTAAAGGCTCCGGCTCTTAGGTCTGACTGGCCTGGACTGAATCCTGGCTCAGTTGCACGCTGGCCAGGTGACCGTGGCCTGCGACTTAACTCAAGCCTTGGCTTTCTCACCTGCTGCAGTGGGACTCATAACATCGACATTTCCACAGTTGTTAGAGTTCAGTGAGATGATGTATGCAAAGCATTTGCTCAGCAACTGGCACGCTCAAAGTCTCAATAATCGTTGGTGCTTATTATTAATCATATTACTAATATGCAGTGGCTGGGCTAAGTCGACAGCAGGGAAGCGCCGGGGGATGGGTGGCAGAAACGGGAGCGTCACTTTTTAATTCTCCAGTCCTCGCTCGCCCCCCGCCCCGCCCCGCCCGCAGCCCCGCCCCATTGTTTCTCTTATCCCGCTGGCTTTGGGGAGGCCATGTACCAGCTTTGGTTGGGCTCCAGCTTGCCCTCTGTTCCTCCACCTGGTTGCCCAGGTGCTGGCGTTGACCCGGGGATTAGAATGGGAACCGAACACCAAAAATCTTTAAACTCAGTCGAGTCTCGTGCGACTGAGAAATTAACTGAGGTTCAGAATCAGAGGCAGAGCTTGAGCTCCATGTAGTCTACACTCAGATTATGCTAAGATTATAGCTGGACGGTCAGAAGAGTGATTTTTCAGCTTGGGGTAAGGCCATGGTATACTCAGAGGGGTCGATGGGGATGGGGCTGACCTAGCACAGACAGAGATGCTTTGCAGTGTCATTACAAATTCTCACTTAGAGCCGGAAGTCTCACCACGGTCAACTGCTTTCAGGGAAACTTGTGAAACGATTGTTTACCTTTTGGTAGGGAAAATCAGCATATAATCACACTGTAGATAGCAGAATGCTTTTGTATTATTAATCTTATCTTCATTGGGCCTTGAAGGCTAATTCCTGGAATTTGGTTGCTCATGGTTAATCAATCTATCAGTATTTATCCTATGTCCAGTTTTAGCTCAGTAACCATTCAGCACTGTGATGGCATAGAAAAGAACGATTAGATGTGGTTCTTTGATCTACTAGCACGATCCATGGCAGAATCAGTGTTAGCAGTTACAGTTTTTCTCCCGCCCTTCCTTCCTTCCTTCCTTCCTTGTATATTTTGAAATCAACAAAAACCTACCTTTTACTCATCTGCAGAGTTAACACAGGAGAAAATAGAAATAAGTATTCATTACAATCTGTAGCTCTTTCTTGGGAGAATGGAAAGATTCTAGGGACGTTTCCTGATTTTTTTAATCACAATGTACATTATTTAAGATTATATATCTGGCAAATAATAATTTAAGACTGGAAAAGATTTCTGTTTGTCTTCCAGATCCACAGTCGACTCTTTTCATCCCCCACAGATCACTCTGCCTGGGAAAGAAATACAAGTCTCTCAAACACAGGTAAAGAACGGCTCCGGCAGGCAGCGCCTGCCTTTCAGCCTTCACTTACTGTCTCTCTCACCTTGATTTTTATTAGTAATGAGATGCGCTTTGGAACTGAGTTCCCCCCCAAACACGATATGGTCTCTCAGTGGCCCTGACAAGACTGGAAGCTGATATGAATTTCTAAACGTAGAGACTCACAGGTTGGCGGTCTCTGAAAAAGCAAACAATGCAAAAGAAACATCGGTTGCCACAGGAGTTGCGTTTGGAACCCGAGATTCCCGCAGACTGCTGAGTGAGCGGTGCTTTCGGCCAGCCGTGGTGCCGGCTCGCCGGGAATGAGCAGTGGGACAAATGTGGGTGCTGTCAGTATAGAGTGGATGCAGCGTAAACAGAGGCAGGGTGTCTGCATTCATAAATCATCTTCGTGAAGCTTCAGTTCATAGCTGCTGAACTGTAAGAACAGTGGGTGCAGCTGTTACAGTTCATAACTTTTAAGCTTGTTAACGTAAGTGGTGTGAAAACAAGCTCCCCCCTCCTTCAGTGGAGAAATCTCATGGATTTAGGTCAGGCTTTCTTATGGTGCTGTAATAAGACCACTGGGTTAACAGAGTATTTCAATTCCAAGACTCTAGCAAAAATAAATTCCGTAAGAACGTTTTATGTAGCAAGAAATTTTATTTTTTAATTTTAATTTTAGTTCATAAAGGTGGCAGATGAGTTGCTATATATATGGAAATATATATGTATATATATGTATCTATATATATGTGTGATGTGTGTGTGTGTGTGTATGTGTGTGTGTATGTAGTATACTGGCTTTGCTAAGATTATAACCAATCAGAAGAGTTACTTTTCAGCTTTGGCATCACACACATGCACACACCCCATCTCTTCTCATCACCCCCCGTCACCTGCCTGTATCAAAGCTATCAGGGACCTGAAGTCATTTCCATAACTGACACAGTCAACCCAAGACAAAAATACTATTTGAAAGAAACTTTCATATTTACTGCTTTCTGGAAGCCTCGAAGATGGTTTCCAGCTTGTTCTTTAACAGTGGCAAGTGTTCAGTTTGAGTCCTTTGAAAACCTAGCCCAGACATTGCCCATGGTAAGAACATGAACCCGTTGACAGAAACTTCTGGCAGCGTGAGCAGCAGAGGTGGGCTCAGGGGGTATATTGGGTCACCTGCACCACACAGAGCATTTGGGGACATTTTCTCCCTAACATTCCAGGATGGATGTCAGAACACTCACACCCAGGTGACCTACATGTGGATGTGTTGATACTCTTTTCCCACGGGGCTCCCGACTGGTTCTTCCAGTTCAAACCCCTGCTGAGAATTTGCATTTGTAACAAGTTCCCAGGAAGTTATACCTAAGAATCCCCTGTAACCAAAAAAAACCGAACCTTTTGCCATCGAGTCGATTCTGACTCATAGAGACCCTATATGGAGCTTGTTAAATTGTAGATTCTGATTCAGTATATCTGGAGTGGACATGCAAATTCTCAGCAGGGAGCTTGTTAGACATGCAAATTCTCAGCAGGGTTTTGAACCAGAATGAACTGATTTGGAGCCCTGTTTTCTCTGGACTGGGTCAGCGAGAAATGATCCTGATCAGACACGTGCCCAATGGAGGCTCCCTCTCGAGACACTTAGCAGTTTAATGATTTAGAAATCCAGCAGTAGGCTGGCCTGGAGGCTGGAGGGTAATGGTGCAGGCTGTCAGAAACGTACTGAAGCCACCCTCGGTGAGGAGGGGACATGTCTCCTGGCTTTCTTTTTCCTTTTTAAACCTCTTTCCATGTTCAAAGTGCTAATTACAGAAGAACACTCAGGACAGTTATAAATGTTGGGCATTCTCGCAGAAGGCAAGCAGTCATTGTACATGTGGGACCATGCTTCCCTGGGAGGTGTCCTCTCTGAGGGACACTCTCATGCTGTCTGCATCTTCCCAGAAGGTTGTTTTCACTTTTTTCCAAAACACAGGTCTGCGTCTGAGCAGCCACCTGGGCCCTCTGGGCCCTCTGAGGTCAAGTTTGGTTCACAAGCTTGCCTCCCCTGTCCTTGCACTCATGAGAAGGGCCTGGCACAAGGCTGAGGCCTTCCTCAGCCCTCTCAGTGGTGTGGGGAAAGTGAGAGAGCAGGCATTTATGTCAAAGTCTTTGAGTACAAAAAAGGGAAACTGTTCGAAAGGAAACCAGTGAGCTTCATGGAAGAAAGAGCCCCAGGTTGTGGAAAGCACAGGAACCAAGTGCGCTGGTGGGGTGGGGGCATGGCAGCAAGGGTATGTGGACCACCTAGGGCCCAATAACAGGACTCGGTGCCAAACTCCTCTGTTCTCATTTTTCAGTTAACCTTTTTTATTTTATTTTAAATTGTTGTAAAAATATAGGTAGCACAACGTTTGCCAGTTCAACATTTTTCACTTGTACAATTCAATCAAACCAGTTACATCAATCATGTTGTGCAACCATCGTCAACATCCTTTGCCATATTTTCCAACCAACCCCATAAACAGAAACTCAGTGATTAAAGATTCCCCTACTTGCCCTTCCCTCCTGCCCCTGGTAACCTCTGTTAAACTCCGATCTCTATACCTTTGCCTATTCTAAGTGTTTCATATTAGTGAGATCATACAATATTTGTCTTCTTGGGATTAACTTACTTCACTCCGCATGACGTATTCAAGGTTCTTCCTTCTGAGTGGCCTGTCCGGGTCCAGGCCCACCCTTGATGACATCATCTCTGGTCAGGAGGCAAAGTGAGATGGCTTCTGAGGACCAGCCTTATGGGTGACTGGATGGTGGGGCAGTTCTCTGAGGGGCAGGAGTCCCTGGGCCAGGCAGATGTTCCTGATAGCCTCTTGTCTACATGGAACGCCATGGAATGACACAGAGGTGGTTTAATCCAGCTTCTTTCTGACGTCTGATGTCTGAATCCTTCTCATGGTTCCTTGCAGGAGTGGGGAAGCCTCTGTAGAGCAGGCCTACCACCCTGTGAGCTCCAAGGATAGGGGGCTCCCTATACTATAACGTAGCTCATGACGTGTTCACTCAGGTGGGATTATTAGAAAGCTTTTACATTGGGTGGAGCCAAAGCAAATAAGCTCCCTTATTTATTTGCTTTTATTCTACAGTTATTGAGCAGGCAAAGAGGAAGCATTAAATCTTTTTAAGTTGCTAGAATTGCAATCTGATTCATGTATCAGGAAGACAGCTCTGCTGAGATATTCCAGGCAGGAGATGATATGGGTTTAGGCTAGGGCAGAACCCATGGAGCACTAGGAATTGAATTATCTACAGGCTGTTGGGATAAGGGACAAATTAAAGATATTTCTGGGCAAGTAGTGCTACCATTAATGGCCTAGGACGTTCAGGATCTAAGAGATTTATGGGAGCAAAGGATGGTGCTGGTGGGCAGACTCTGAGTGTGTAGGGTATGGACACCCTGAGTTGGACAGGCCCCTGTGACATCTGCCCAGGATCACCTGTAAACAGTTCCTAGTTTGGTCCTGAGATAAGGAGACAGGCTAGGTTTATAAATTTTGATATAACCATCATTTACATGTGAGTTGTACAAGAAACCACAAGTACGGCTGAGATGAGTGTGGGAGGTAATATACAAGATGGGAAGAGGATGGGGCTACAAATCCAAAAGAACAAACAGACACACACATGGGTTGGGAAGAAGAACATTGCCCTGGGAACCACAGACCTTGTTGCAGGGTTTTGGCCTTTTGACTGAGGCACATAGTGCCAGTATTGACTTTGCCATCAATGAGCTTTTTGTCTTTGGAAACGTCTTTGCACTTCCTTGGTCTCAGTTGCTTTAAGACAATGATGGTTTTGGATCCCCCATCTCTACAAAGCTGCCTAAATTCAGTGATGTGGGTGGTGGCTCTGTTGTTGTAGAAGCCGGAGCAGTGGGTCATTTGGTGCAGCCAGGTTCACAGTACTCATGCAGGAACCCCAAAGCGGATGTTGTCTCTAAATTTTCATTTTTGCTTCCTTCATTTACACAGTACAGCTATTCACTGCCTCGGTCATTGGAAATTCCAGGACTGGGAAACGTGGGGAGTTGGTTTCTAATGGTTAAATTGTCCTCTTGGCAAGACCTTGGAAGTCTGTGCCTGTGTAAAATTTCAGTTTGCTGTGATTAGTCGGGTCTGAACACGGAGGGAAAAATGCAGGAAGGACGGCTATTTCTGCCCAAACTTACATCTGTTTTCAAAATCAGAAGAAGGTAGGAAGTCCCTTTCAAACTTCCATCCTGCATTGTATAAAGAGATTCCAGTTACCATTTCCCCATCACTATGCCACTACCTGTCTGCAGGTAAGACTGGTTGACTGAAAGATTTAGCAATGGTTGGAGAAGCTAGGTTGCCTCGTTAAGACATTTCTGTGGAAATCCGTTAGGGGAGCTGATGAAGGTCACTTGGAATTTTTAATCACTAATTCACTTGGCTTAGGAAAGGAAGGTGGGATGACATGAAACTTTCTTCCTTCTGATCAATTAAGGCTGACCTTTAAAACTGGCAGTTTGTAAAGGGTGGATCTTTGATGGATGAGTGGGGTGAAGTAATTATATTTCAGTTGAAACTTGAGGATTTGTTGTTGTTGTGTGCTGTCGAGTCAATTCCGACTCATAGCGACCCCATGTCTAGAACTGCCCCACAGAGTTTGCTTTGGCTGTATTCTTTATGAGAGCAGATGACCAGGTCTTTGCCCTGCATACCACTGGGTGTTTAACCAATAATTGTGTTCAACCAATAATTGTGTTTAACCACTAATTGTTACTTTATCCCAATTTTCCTGAGAGCAGTGGTTTGCTTCCTTCATCACCATAGTTTCTATTTCGTTAGTACTGAGTCGAACAGCTAGTTGCCCCAGTGTAACACACGCCCCTAGTCATGGTCCCAGGAAGCATTGTTCTATTGCCCCATAAAAGCCACCCAGAGCTTGAGGTGAGCCGCGGCTGGATTTCTTTTCCAGAAAAGGCATATATAATTGTA